TAGCAACAGATATACATGCCAATAAATGTTAACAAAACAGAAATTAAGCAGAAAAAGATGTAGCATAACCAACACAGCACATTCCAAAGCCAGTAGGCTTGTTCATTTAGAAACCAAATCTGTCTCTGGCTACTGTACGACGGAAAATTTCAGGCAGAAATAGCCAACTTTCCTCAAGAGGGGAACTCTAAGGTCAAAGGAGGACAACCTAATAAGGGGCAGGCTATCAGTTCTTCCTATTGAAATAGATCCACATTATTTTCTTGCAGAATTAAAAAAGTATATATTATTAATTGGGTCCATTTTTTTCAGATTATTCTGTGACACAACAAATTGCACAATAAAAATTCAACAGCTTCTGYTTGTAAATATGGAATTTTTGCTTAAAAAGACCTTTCAAATCCACTGTCACCTTTAATTATAGATATATGCCTGCAAACTGAAATTGTTATTCCAGAATTCTTCATTTGTTAGTTCTTATCCTGAAAGCATTTTTTTTTTCAGAACTGGGATCAAGAGTGTTATAACCAATCATTCAGTGCTGAATTAACAAGCAGCAGTCCTGAAAGCTGCTGCCTTAGCCACAAAATGGACGCAGCAGCAGCAGCAGCACACTGTTCTGCCGACAGAAATCACCACGCCTCAATCAGAGCCAAGCTTGTACGGAAGAGGTAACTTTTCACACCTATCCAGTCAGCAGCCTCACTTGTTGAGATTGCCCTTGAAGGAGCAAATATACTACAAAATACTGCCAAACCACTGAAGTTTCCACATAACATCAAGTGTCTGACATTATCTCTGCTTGGATTTCAACCAGTGACCTGAGGTGAAGGACTGTTCTCAATAGCCCTTCCCACTGCAGCTCTGAGCTTGCAACATCAGTTAATCACTGGGGAAACACTGGGGCAGGTGACTGTTTCAGATGGAGAAAAAACTGCATAGTCAAATGCAAGAGTTTGCTTGAGGATTTTGAAGAGATTTCACCATCTTAAACACAATATTCTCATTGATTCTACAAAGAACTAGCTGCAAATTTGACTTTGAATCAGGAGTACAGAAGAAACCTAGTGATCTTAATTTGTCTTCTCAGCTACTATGCATGATGAATTAGGGGATTTAAATCCCTAAGGTCTATGTTACATTTTTTTCCCCTTTGCACAGTATTGCTGCAGTATTCCCCACTGCAGCCTCAGGACTAGAAATAGCCAGACAGTGGTCTTTCTCACACTGCCTACCTTTCAACATATATACAGCTTAATGCATTTTTTCTTCATTAATTTTTGATCAGAGTGTACTCTTCCAGAGTAAATCTGCAAATACCGTATTCTAAGACACCCAGTGGATGAGCGAAAGAATTACTCCGCTTCTCTCCTCTTTCGTTAGCTAAAATCTATTTATCAGCTTACAAATAAGACTGGATTCTCAGGACTGCTGAGGAACTAGTAAAGACCCAATGCATTATCCAGAGGCATGCTGAAGATCCAATGCACTATTCACAGGGATGCAGCTGCAAGTCCGACCCGCCTTGGGAGAGYCCACCCATTCGCCCCTGCTCATGGGACTCACTGACAATGCACACACAGACAATCTGMAGAATTGGAAAAGCTTCAACCTGGAAAACATTTGTAACTACCTTCCTGTTTCAACCCAGGCATTAAAAGCATCATTAGTTCCAGGCCATCTATCCAACAACAAGTTTGCTTTACAGCTAAAGCATTCATGAAAGTAAAACTCTTCTGTGATATTAACAAAGTAGGAACCTTCTTAAGACAGCTATTATTTTGGTATCAAAACCATCTTACATCAGGCAGCTTTGTTCTGTATTGCTCAGAGCACACACAGGTTTAAAAAGATAACCCTAGAGGCAAACAATGGCACCAAAAAATTACTGACTGTGCTCAGAAAAATTCAAGTACAAAGTCCACCAAAAGTACAGATGCTGAAGCCACAATTATAGTTTCACTGCCAAATTCATTGAGAAACTGGAAGTGACCTAACAGCTGTTCAAATAAGACCAAAATATTAAAACATTCTTGTGAAATATAAATTTCGTCTTGAATAAGCATTCTAACAGACATGCTGTTTATTTGTCTATGACCATTTTGTAAACACAACTGCTTTCTCATCCGACTACCACAACACTGTATCCTTAATTCTCACCCCTCCCCTTCAGTCAATGTGTATTCTGCTTCCAGATAACTCTCTCTGAAATGTTTAACCAGATGTTTAGATACTAACTTATCCTCTAGTGGTTGAAGTTAAACAGTACCAGGACACAAGAGTATTAGGCAGGAGGAAGCAAAAAAAAAAAAGGGGGGGGGGGGGAAGCTTAAAATAAAATATCAGCATCCAGCTTTATATCCAGAAAACTGGTTTCATGTGAATGCAAATGTTCATTAAATTAAGGCAGAAACTTTTTTCAAGATCTGGAAATCTATGTATTACAGTAATATACCAAGAAAACTGTAAGCACATTCAACTGAATTCTGGCTATTGTTGCTGAATTTCTCAATATGAGAGTCAAACAAGACAGTAACTCATCTGGGATCACTTTCAACATAAGATTAGAACTCTCTTCAGGCACAGAGCGAGTTTCATCAGACCCCAAAGGAGACATCTATGTAAAAACTGGCCATTTACATTTCTCCATCAGCCACATACTTCTAACGCACACTTTGTCTCATCCCAAGTCAAAGCCCTATGGCAAAACATTTATTTCTCCATACCAACTATCAAGAAAACAACTATTAGCTCAGGTGTATTAGCTGAGACTATTAGCTTAGACATACATTTACAATTATTAGATGRGATGAATTCCACGCAGTCTTTCAAGTGGCCTCTTCCAAATGACAGGCTCCCATTGCAACCATTAGTGAACAACATACACAATAAAATARTATCACTAGCTTGAAAAACTAAGCAAGCTTCTTACAGTCACATTTACACCACCACTGTTTTTTTCTTCTATATTAAATACCTGAATCTTTCATGCAAAAGCTGTGTAAATGTGCACAACCTGTACGTACAAAGTTCTTCTTGGGAGCACTGCAAGAAACATTTTGATTCACTATCCTTCACTTTTCATTATASTATATAATGGTTTATATAAAATATACCCTTGTCACTACATAACCACATTTCCAACCTGCACCTCTAATTCTCCCAAGATTGAGGCCTTTACCCGATGAACTTCACTAACATTTTCAGATTTTAAGGGCTTCACACTGATTAAAATGGAAATTTAGGTAATACCCACAGCAGCATTTGAAGGAATATCTCTGCTGAAAATCTTGTCTCCTTCCAGCATTATGTATTTACTGGCCAGAATTCATTTTTATTAGATATTCATAATGTAAGCCCTGTGATTCCCMATGAAACAATCCACAAGAAATTCTTGCAGTGCAGCAAATATTTCATCTCCTAAAAAGCATTCTGATTTCTGAAACACGCATCTCAAAGCACATATAATGCCTCACTGTATTAGGGAGTGCCGTCCCTCAGAAATCTCATCCCTGACCGCTGACTCATCCAACGTCTTTTCCCAGAGGTTTAAAAAAAAATATATCAAGGCACAAATGTCAAGGGCTAGAAAAGAGATTTTCCTATGTCCGCTGCATCTTTTCATGGTTCCCTACAGCAATTTTATTTCATTTTAAAAATGAAAAAAAAAAAAAAAACCCAAAGTGTGTGACCAAAAACTATTWGGAATAAAATACTTAAACGAGGAACTGCGCTACATGAACAAGGCAATTTAAAAAGCCCATTTGGACGTACTGTTTGGTAAATATTTGCAATTCCCCAGGGCCAACTTTTGTACGTTAAAAAAAAAAGGGAAAAAAATCCCCACCGAATGCAGCAGGAAGAGCAGCTCAGCTCTAACAATCACAGAGGGCTCTTTCCAGCACACAAAGGACACAGCTCCCCACCTCATCACGACAACGGTTCCTAACGTTGTATAAACGCTCCGAAGTGCTTTACTGGAAGCTACCCACGGCACTTCCCATAGAAAGGGCCGATCAATTTTGTGCACCCTGCCAAGATTCATTTTTTTTTCTCCTCATTTTTTTTGTCCTCTGTACTCACTGGTGAAGTAAATCTGGTTGATTTTTAATTGGCACAATTACACAAGCCCTGGTGGTTGCAGGGCCACCAGTTGAATCATGAACCAGAACAGAGGAAGGGAAAAAAAAAAAAAAAAAGAGGAAAAGGGGGAGGGAGAGATAAAAAAGGTTATTCCTCGCCCAATGTCTCCCACAGCAAGACACTGCCCGATTCCCATTTTATCTGCCCTAAAGGCACCTCTCGCACACACCCGCTTTCGTGGCTCGCGTTTTATGGGGAACTTTGGGAAGGCCGCAGGAAGGGGCCGGGGCGGGGGCGGGGGCTTATCCCTTTGTTTTATCCGCTGGCCCCCTCGTCTCGCGGGTGATGGATGCCGGGCCGCGGCCCTCCCTCCCTCCCTCCCTCCCGGCCGAGGCGCGGGGAGGAGGCGCCGCCGATCATGGCCGCGACGCAGCGACCGCGGCCCCGGGCGGGGGGGCGACACCCCCTCCCTCCCTCCCTCCCCAGCACCTCCGCAGCCTGACTCGCCCCTGCGGCACTGGGAGA